ATTAGCCTATAATTATATTTTGTTTTCAAGAATAAATTTTGTCTAGCTTCTTCAAGTGCTAAACACGCCCTAGTATCTTTGTATCAAGTGCCTTTGTATCCTTAATACAAAATAAGCATTCCTTGCGCGATAGTTTGTTACTTGTAGCTAGGATTAAAAATCCCTGAGGTAATTGATAGCCTCGTTCATGGATAGCCTTGGACCTTAAGAACAGAATAACATCATTCGTATACATGGATGTAGCTGAGTTTCTGACTGCATAGGGAAAATCATGGATAAAAATCAAGATAAGGAGTGTCCCGAGACATGATCATTGCCCAACACCAAACTGCTTCTTTCTGCGTTTTTGAATTTTGTTGCGTTAACCCTAAAAAACCATTTCCGGGGGGCTGGAGGGGCCTTGAGAGGGCTGGAGGGGGCTGAAGCCCCCCTTAGATTCGGGCACCTGATTATTTTGGGCAAAATTTGGACAGGAAATTTCTCCAAAAGCAAAAAGTACAAGAAAAACTACATTTTGAACATGGCTAAAAATATCTGAGATAAAAAAATCAAGTGGTCGTAATCGAGAGCGCTTTCAGAATTGTTGGAATATGGTAAAAATCTATGAGGTGAAAAAACGCAAAAGCGAAAAGAACAGCAACAGCCCAATTAGTGCTTGAGAAGATTGTCGATGAAGTAAAAGAAAGCGGCTATTATGCTCTCATAATTGATTAAATATCTTACTTCCGTCAGCACGAATATATGTTAGTTTGTGTCATTTTTGCACTCAATGGTGTCCGAAAGGAAGTTTTTGCTAAATTTTACAAAACTCGCTGTTTAGTAATTGTACAAATTCGGCTTAAAAGCGTATGTAGAAACTTGTTGGCAAAATGACTTCGACTGTCTAAAATGAGCGCCAAGGCTGAGGGCTTGGCAAAGCGAATGGAGGACTGTTCTCCCCTGAGCATCTTTGTCCACTGCCTTGGTCATTAGTTGAATCTTGCAGAAAGTGAGTCAGTGAGAAATGGGCTTGGTATCGCTCAAAGTCTCTAAAATTTCACTGAGGCCAGCACCAAAGACATGTAATTTCTAGAGAAAAGTTGAACATGAACCGTCATATAGCCAATAGGGACAAAGCAAAAAACACTGGGCTTGCCAGTGGAGGAAGGCAGTGGGCAGGACACTTATTTTCTTTTCAAGGATAAAGACTCCGAAACCCATCTAGGAAGCAAAAATCTGTTCAATTGATTCTACAATGAAATGGATAAAGTTTTGGAATAAATCTATGCGCGATTTAGTGGTAGTGAATATTACTTTGTATGTGCTTTGGTGTAATGGAGGCATCTGGGGCCCTAAGCAAAAACTGCTACGAGACTTCTATTCACGGACAGCAAGATCACATTAAATGGTGTAGAGCATGTCAAACACAATAGAAAAAGATAAAAATGTTAATTATTTTCTCGTTAGTTAGGGAGAAATGAGCTTTAGCGTTTCAGTTGAGGAACTTTCAAAGTTTTCAAAAGTTATTAGAACTTGAGCAAAGCTTTACAGATCTGGACGTAAAAGCACCTTGGGCCCCTTTTGGTCGGGGGCCTTTGGATGTTTTCATCCACTGTGTCACGACACACTAGCGTGCCTTGAAGTATTACCCAGTGTGCCGTGGAAAATTCTCTAATTTCACTTCATTGGTCCATAGAATTGAAAAGATTTATAACTATCCGCAAATAATGTGCCGTGGATAGAAAAGATTGAAAAACGCCGAATCAAGGTGTTCTAAACTGTGTTACGCAAGGGTGAATGCTAACCCTTCGACAGAAAACATCATAAAGATTTGCTCCTTCTACAAATAGATTCTAAGTTTCTGACCTCCTAGAAATGGAACACAAACTGTTCAATAATCACAAGAATTGGCAGATAAGCAAAAAAGTGCATGAATTGCTGAAAATGGTGCAAATCTTGTTCACAAAAAGATATCGATAAAATAATCGATATATTTGGTCGCTGTCGTGAAAAAGATTCGCTTATTTTAATGAAAATGTGCAAAGTTTTAAAAATGCTTATTCTTCTTCTTCTTACTGGCTCTTCCGTCTTAATTCAAGACATTAACCTTGCCACTGTTTTCTTCCATTCCTTTCGCTCATAATCGTTCTCAGTTAGTTCATCCACTGTTTTTTTTATTGGTTTCAGGTCTTTATTGATTTGTCTGATCCATGTCTGTTTTGGTCTTCCCCGATTACCCTTCACTTTTTTCAAATGTTCTCTGAAAGCTAATTTTGCTGGTGTTCTTTCTGGCAACCTTAGCATGTGCCCAAGCCAGTTTAATCGCCGTTTCTTTATTTCGGTTGTGATGGTTGTCTGATGTGATCTTTTATATATTTCTTCATTTCTTATTTTATCCATTAATTTGATGTTTAGCATCCTACGTAGCAGTTTTCTTTGAAAAATATCGAGACTTTCTTCCAATTTCTTGGTTAAGGTCCAGATCTCGCAATTGTAAAGCAGCATTGGATATATAAATGTATTAAGCGTTC